GGTCTTTTATTTACTGCGTAACAATTGGCACCCAATGTTGAAGTACAAATTCATGAAAAACCACTTTGAGGCCACCAGGCCAGGCCCAAACCTGAGTTGCAGATGGTACTCCTGCTCAACTCCCTCCTGCCTGAGTCCCTGCCTGATCAGCCAAGTTTTCTTTTGATTTTTCCTCAAACCTTTGAGTAAGTGTGGGATCTTTCTAAACAGTCTCCAGGTACCACCTAAACTCAGGAGGCTTTCAGACTTTTTCTAGGGCCCCTCTCCTCAGGCTGACACTCTCAGCTCACAAACACAAGCTAATGCTCTGATTCAGATGTGCTACACCTCACAGTTCACTGACATTGTCGGATTTGGTAAGTCAATTAGAAATTCTGAAAGAAAGGGATTAGATTAAAAAGAGAGATTTTCCCACACTAAAAAATAGAAGACACTATTAATAAAATGGAGAGAATTTAGGTCTCTGCATGATTACAATATTGTTTAAAAATGGAACAAGTAAATGAAGGGGTAACAAACTTAACCAAGATGGACATACTGTTAATTATCATATTAATAATCTTTGTTGTCATCTTGATAATTCTTGGTTTATTTCTTAAAATGTAGGTTGGTGTAACTGCTAAGATTCAGGCCTTAAAAAAACTCATTAAAACAGATTATAGAGATATTGAAACCCAGACTGAGGAATTACATGAAAACCAAATTCAGCATTGCGTTTTAAGGTTAAAAATGAACACCCTAAGGTCTTAATATATCCAGTAACTTTACATGAAGTGTCAAATGAAGGAACTTCTGTAAAAGCTACTTGGAAGCATGTGACAATATTAGACTTAGGGAAATTCAAGGAAGCTGTAGTCTCATATGGAATCCATTCACCATTTGTGAAGCAGATTTGATTAAAACTGTCCCAGAGCCTGGTACACAATTACAATGGACTTCCTGGTTCAGAGAAGAGGCTAAGATTATTGAGCAATGGGCTAAAGCTAGAGGTATAAATATCTCCCAAGATCAAATTCCTGTAGAAGGCAATTATGCTACTTTAGAAAGGCAATGTCAATATGATGACTGCCTCTTGGGTTTATGCTGTACAGCAGCTTTGCATGCTTAGAACAGAATTGGAGAGGCAGGAAAAGAAATTGAATCATTTATAAAAGTTATACAGGAAGCATTCATAGATTTCATACAAAGACTGTCATCAGCAATCAATAGAACGATATCAGATACAGAAGCTAGAAAAATAGTAACTGAAGCTATGGCTTTTGAAAATGCTAATGCATTTGGAGGATTGGATCTGAGATACTACTAATATTGAAACTCATAACCATGATGATGATACAAAGATAGGAGAGGTGATTTCAAGAGGTTTAAAGAAAAATTTAAATGTCAAATGATTTAAATGTGGTTGACAAGGTCAACTGAAAAGGGATTGTAAACAGAATAGCTCCAGAAACAATTTCTTTTATAAGCATAATCCAAACAGAATGCCCCTCCCTTCTGGATTATGCAGAAGTTGTGACAAAGGCAGGCATTGGACAAAGAGTTGTAAGTGAACAAGATATTATAAAGGTAATACTTTGCCTTCAGGAAATGCCTTGGGGGACCTTTCAAAGGTTCCTGTACCAAATTCAGTCCCTTCCCAGAGCAATTAAAGAGCCTAATGCCCATTGTAAGAAAACATATTGCTCTAGATGGTAGAAGAGCTTTAGAAGAGAAAACAAAAAAAATTTCAGGAGAAACCATAAATCAAAATTGGTAACTTTTAGAGTAGTTAGTTTGGGAAGGGTTTTGTTTTTGCCTTTTCAGGAAGATAAAAGCAACCATCTTGAAAAATTTAAAGATCTTTGGACAAATAAGCATCCAAAGAAAAAGTGAGAACTACCTGGAAAAATTATCAAGAAAAGAAGTAATATGACTTAATGGGATCTCTGAAGTCTCCAAACAGAAATTGAATCCCACTTGGGAGGCAGAGGCAAGCAGATCTCAGGGAGTTTGAGGACATACTGTTAACATGAAACCCTGTCTTAAAGGAGGAGGAAGGAGGAGGAGGAGGAGGAGGAGGAGGAGGAGGAGGATTACCACAATGACAATTTAACCAGGATGATAGCACCATTAAGCTGAACAACATCAACTAATGATCAGCTTTGAACTACAAACTGCTCAGAACAATTTTGAATTGGTCAGGTGAAATGATACAGTCTCATAGACACGGCTCAAAACAATTTTGAGGAGGCCAGCTAAGGTGATCCAGTCTCACCGACTACTCTAGCCAGGACTTGAAGCAATCCCTGCACTTTCCCAATATGCAGAGACTGGACAAAATTGATACAATTTGACAGTTATCCAAATTTTTCTTCTCAGGATCCCCTAAAGATGCCATCACCCCCAGAGAGCAAGAAGTAATTTTGAAAATACAATGGCTATATTCCCAAAATGTGGGGTAGCATTTAAAACTCGATGTCTATAACCATCCTGGAGCTTTCATCCAGTGACTGATGGAAGCAGAGGCAAACACCCACAGTTAAACACTGAACTGAACCCAAGGAACCCAGCAACAGAGAGAGAGGAGCAATGAGCAAATTGGCAAAGAATGGGCTGGCAAAACCAGCAGAGACAGCTGATCCGAACAGGGGAGAGCTCTTGGACCCCAGACCGACAGCTGGGAGGCCAACATGGGACTGATCTGGACCCCTTGAATGTGAGTGTCAGTGAGAAGGCCTGGGCAACCTATGGGGCCCTGAGCATTGGATCAGTGTTTATCCTTGGAATACAAACAGACATCGTGTGTTCATAACACAAAGAGGGATGCTCTCTCAGCCTGGACTCTTAGGGGAGTGCCTGGACCTTACCCTGAGTGAAATGACAGACTCTAGATGTCCCCTATGTGGAAGGAATTGGCAATAGGGTGGGAGGATGGGGGGATGGTGCGGGATAAGGGAGGAGGGGAGGGAGAGGGAACTGGGATTGACATGTAAAACAAGCTATTTAAAATTAAAATAATAAAAAATATTAAAATGTTTTAATAACATTGATTCTTTTGTATGACAATGAGACATATCTGCTCCTGGCAACATCAATCTACTTCAGAGAAGATGATGGACATTGAAGAAACTATACATGGAGTTCACTTCCTTTGTGGCAAACGTAGGCACTGGGCAAAAAAGTTCCCTTGCCTTGATTGTTGATAGTATACTGCCCAAATTAGACAAACAGGATACAAAAGAGAATGACTGCAAACCTTGACAAGACAAAGCAGAACAGTACTTCGGAATAATCTCCTTCACAGAAAAGTCCGTCAGATATTCTAGGCCTATGGGCTGAAGATAGATGCCCCAACTTTGCAGAAGAACTTGGGTGACTGTTCAGGTAACCAGATGTTTTTGTTATTTGTCACATTTCTTGGAAGTAGCTTGCTAGGACTTCCTGTTTACTCAGGTAATATTAATTCCTTCTTGGTCTCTGAGGGAGTTGACGAATAGATAGTACAGTTATAGTTTTCCTTATTTACAAAACTCAGAAAAGAATCTTACTAAAGATATGTAAAGTATAAATGGTTTAAGACACATTAAAAGATATTTTGACAATGCAAACTAGAATAGAAAGTAAATTAGGTACAAGACTTTGGACTCACCAAAATAGGAAAAGATCAAATCGAACTCTAAATGATATGCTAAATAAGCAGAAAGGGATGAAAAAGAAACTCCAAAATAGATTCCATAGTGCTTTATTAACTTTGAATTTTATGAATACTAATTAGAAAGGAACAACAGCTGCAGGAAGACATTGGATAATAGACAATAACTACAGAATTAAATCAGCAGGTATACTTTAAAAATGTCTTGACATCAAAATGGAAACCAGTACATGTGTTACATTAGGGAAGAGGTTTTGCATTGGTTTCCACAGGTGAAGAAAGCTATGGATACCATCAAAACTGATAAAGATTCAATTAGAACATGATACCTCTTCATTAGAAGAGATGATAGTTCATCAAGCAGCATGGTCATTTAATCTTAACTAACCTATAAAACTAGCAAATGCTTTTCATTTGATCAGATATAACTTGTCAAAAGAAAACCTCCCCAAAATTTAGGGTTGGGTAAGGGTTTTAATTCTGTCTTTTCAGGAGAATAAAAGTATCCAGCTAAAGAATCCAGAGACCACTGCACAACTGAGACATATGAAGAAAAGGGACAAATAATCCAGAAAAATTGTCCCAAGAAAAGGAGTAAATTGATCTGTTGGATAATGGAGTATTTCCTCTGAATTTGTCAAATGTAAATAGACTAGATATTTTCTCTGAATTTGTCAAATGCAAATTGAGTAGACATTGTTGGTGTAATTATTGCCTGTATATATTGTATATACTTATTGTATATAGTTTTTTCTTATATTAGTTTTCTTATATTTTTTGTATTAGACAAAAAGGGAGGATTGTAGTGATATATTGTTAATGTCCAATAAAGCTGCTGGAGATGAGTTTGCAAAGCCAACCACACTAATTAGCTATAAAATCTCAGGACTCAGAATTAAAAGGTAGATGGATCTCTGTTAGTTCAAAGCAACCCAGGGCTACATGAGATTGAAGCAGTCTAAAAGAGTAACAGAGATCATGCCTTTAATCCCAAGACTCATGAGAGATATTTAAGGCAGGAACAGGGTCTCAGAGCTGGCATTCAGACTCTAGCCACATTTCAGAGAGCATAGTAGTCTGAGTGAATCTAAGGACCAGTGAAGTTGGGAACAGTCTGATGATCACCCCTTTGGTCTGAGCTGAGGTAGAGGTAAGAGCTAGTGGCTGGATGCTTTGCTTTTCTGATCTTCAGTTTGAAGCTTTAACCCCAGTATTTGCCTCTCAGTCTTTTATTTATCATGTTACACACTAAATGTTGATGTTTGTATAATTTAATCAAACAGCAAGACAAAACTTCAGGTTTTTGAAGCATTTCCAGGAAGACATTGTTATAGTAGGAACTGACCAAGAAAAGCTATTTGAAAGCAATGTTTATTTGAGAGTATGCAAACTTGTATTTTTTATTATATTAGTATTTGCACATAAAACACTTTTCATGCACATTTGCAAATTTATAAATGTTGCTATTCCTCCCATTAGAGTAACTGGGATTTTCATTATTCATTTGCTTACTGGAAGGACTCCCTTGATTTCTTTTCTCTACTGTCTTCTTCTTTGTTTCTTCTTTCTGTCACAAAAATACAAAGAAAACACAACTTCAGAAATTACATTCTTCATTCAAACTCACCATCACTAACTCACTGTATCAGTCACTAAGACAAATATATTTATAGTCTGTCAAGTTATAGACACAATCCTATGAAAAGCAAGTAAAAGAAATTAATTTGTTTTCAAATAGAATCAGTGACACATAACAAATGAGAAAAGTTTATTTCATTATTTCTAACACCAACATGTATTTACAATGATTATATAAGAATCCATTCTTCAGCATAATTTGAAAGACAGAGAAATTAGAGAGGGGGAGTACAAAGGGCCTTGTAGACAAGGCATCATGAGCAAAAAGTGGACTATACTTACTGGTAATGAGATAGATTGCTCAAACATGAAGACAAAGGCCAAATCACAAGAGGAATATCTCATTCTAGACAGAAGGTGAGGATTCCTCCTCACAGCACAGGCAACCCACACAATAAGAACCAAAGTATTTCAGAAGAAACAATTGTATAAAAGTCTCATTTGCAACTGTATAAGGGTAGAAGACCATAATGTGGGGAGAAAGGATAAGAAAAGATATTTCAAAATAGTTAGGGACAGGCCAGCTAGATGACCCAACCAATAAAAGTGCTTGATTCACAAGGCTGAATTCAACAGTCAGAATGTGTGTTGAATGGGGAGAACAGACTCCCAGAGTTGTCTTCTGACAGCCGCAGGCATATAATTGAATGTGTATGTTCAAACGCAGTGAAATTCAAATTCCCACACACATGAGTAGGAGGAGGATGACAATAATGTTGATGATAAGTAGGCTGTCAATATAATCAATTTTCTACCATATGAAACCTGGTAACCAGATGGAAATCAATGAGGAAATTGTGAGGAGAATATCTCCTCAGCTTCAGTACATGATGTTCACCTGATAGCACTTTCAGAAAAGGGGTAAGTAGAAGTCAAGGTACAGTGGAAGGAAGTCAATGTCAGGCAAACATAAGGTCAATGCATTTAATTTCAGAGCCAGGAAACTTGAGTCACTCAGAAGATTTAAAGACAAGTCTGTACTAACCTTAGGAGACAGACTGGATGGCATTATTCAGGGCAAGCGTATTTATCTACAAGGCAAATATGTGTAAAAATATACTATTGGGCCATGATTAATGTATACAAAGGACTCTAAAATTCTGAGAATTACAGAGGAGGTAAAATAAAAAGAATTTTTTGTTTGTCACCTTTTGTTTTGTGATGGGGATGTCCTCCTATATATATGTTTCTCTTATTGATTGATGAATAAAATACTGTTTAGCCAATAGAGGCAGGAAGATAGGCAAGACAAGGTGATCAGGAGGATACTGAGGAGAGAGGCAGAGAGGCACCAGGAGGACACGCCATGTAGAGACCTGGAAGATAGGACACACCAGGCATTCTCCAATAAGATAAGGCCATGTAAAAATACTACTAAAAAATAGATTAGTAGTTATAGGTTAATAAGACAGAGCTAGCCAATAAAAAGCCCTAGTCATTGGCCAACAATTTTATAATTAATATAGCATCTGTGTGTTTATTTGGGGCTGAAGCAGCAGTAGGACCTGGCGGGAAAAGAAACTCCAGCAACAAAATGGTGCCCAACATATGAATTTCCATGTAAAACCTGACAAAAACTTTAAAAAGTGATTCTAAAAACAAAAGAACAGAGGCAAGCACAGCTTCTTGATAGCAGCATTTTCTTGGGTGGGCTCTGTTTGCTAGATACAAACAGAGGGTTGTGGTTCCTTTAAGAGACTCTTCCTGACTCAGAATTAGCAGCAAAAAAAAAAAAACTGCACAGCTCTTTTAAGAGGCCCTACTGCCAAACAACTGAATGGTGTGTATGAGCAGCTGGCGGCAGCAGTGGCCACATCTCCAAACTACACAGCATGCTGCATGGCAGATTTAGCTTTTCCTCATATAGACCAAAAAAAGTTTAAGAGTCAAGATGGTGAACACAGCTACCAGTGCTGGTGGCAAATACATCTTTGCCATGTTGGAAAGCCAGCAGCTAAAACATCCACTTTAATTATAGAAATGCTGTTTAGCAGATAAAAGACCCGTGGCCAGAAAATGATAGAGATATACAGTAAAGACAGATTCAGATGAAGAAAAATCTCTAAAGGGTTTACAGTGTGTTTAAAAATATATGTAGGGTTGGGAGAGAAAAGAAAAAGGGTAAAGTGGTTAAAAAAGAAATAGAGTAGCTGGGTGTGGTGGCCCACGCCTTTAATCCCAGCACTCAGAAGGCAGAGACAGGTAGATCTCTGCGATTTCAAGGCCAGCATGGTCTACAGAGTGAATAATTCCAGGACAGGAAAAAATACACAGAGAAACCCTGTCTTGAAAAATGAAAAATATGAAAGTAAAAGAAATAGAGAATTTTTAAAAAGCCACGTAAAGATGGAAAATACAAAGAGAGTCTGGATATTATATATTATCATGTTGTCTTTAAATTGTTTGGTTGCTGAGGAAAGAACAACAGCCTCTCACAGATATTTGATTATAAATGCTGCTGAATTAATCCAACCTATATATTTTGAAAATGCTTTGACTTCAAAATTTAAATCTAAGGACAGGTTACTTTGGAAAAAAGGTTGTTTTTGTTTCCACAGAAATGAAAAGCTGTGAATTCTTTCCAGACTAATAAGGTTTGATTAGACAAGACCCCCTGTAGCAGTGTCCCAGGTGATCCAACATCCAAAACAGCTGTTATGATGCAGCATCAGACTACTACAACCAGGATTTGGACAGGATTCTGTTTTCTCAGGATTCCCATGGTATTGATGGTGCTCCCAAACAGCCAGAAGCATTTTAGAAAGAACTATGCCCAAATTCCCAAATATTGTTTATAATTGTTTTTTTTCATTTAAATGAGGTTTGTTATAAATGGTTAATGGTCACAGCCAATCTCTTTCTAAAGGAAAAAAAGGGGGAATATGATATAAAAATGAATACTTTGCATTGGTGTGAATTTTGGTTTATTGATACAAATTTAAAGTCAGTTTTGTTATATGTGTATTTCTCCTCTTGTTTATATATTACGTTTATACAGCTCATTTAAAAATGTAATATATAATTAAATACAGATTGTAGTCACCTATAATAGTCAAAACTTACATTAGTTAGGTTTTCTAGATATACAGAGACATATTTAAAATGGATATATAGTCTTAAAACCCCTCAAAGACCTACAGAATATGGCAGTTAAAATCATTTAGGGTTTTTCACGACAGTGAGACACAACTGCTCCTGACAATACCAGTTATATCAGAAAGGAAGATGGGCAGTTGCTTTCAATATGGAGAGACCAGCCATTAGGGAAAAAAAAACTTCTCTTGTCTGGAGTGCTTGACTATATGTTGTATAAACTAGACATGCAGGACCCACAGGAAAGTGACTGCTGAACTTTCAAAACAAGATGGGACAGTCCTGCAGGGTTCCTGCTTCATGGAAGAGTCTGCCAGACATTCTGCAGGATGCATAAAAAGGTGACTGACATACTGCCAATACAGGTAGACAGTTTAAAACTTCCTGCTTCACTGTGAAGTCAGCCTGACACACTATGACCTATGGGCTGAAGATGGATGCCCAGCATTGCAGAGGAACTTTGGATGACTGTCCAGGCAGCGAGATGTCTCTGTGAATTCTAGATTTTATACATTATCCTTCTGAGGTCTTTGATGGAGTTGAAGACAGTTATGTTTATGGTTTTCCTTAGTTATGATAAAAGATGAGTTACATGTAAGACTTTAGATTCACAAAGATAGGATAGATGATAAAATATTTTCTTTAAATTTTGCCAAATATTAATGGACTGAATATTGTTAACTATAGTTCTTACTTGATAACTGTTTCGTTATATATAATATACTATGCTAAAGTTAAAACTGTTCTTTTTATTTAGACAGAAAGAAGAGATGATGGAGATGTCCTTTTGTATATATGTTTCTCTTATTGGTTGATGAATAAAACACTGTTTGGACAATAGAGGCAGGAAGATAGGCAGAACTAGGAGAAGAGGAGAATTCTGGGAAAGGTCAGCAGAGAGAGACTTGGAAGAGATGCCATGTAGCTGCCAAAGGAGTAACAGATCCAGGCATTCTCCAGTAAGTTAAGACCACATGGACATACATAGATTAATAGAAATGGGTTAATAATTGAGACAGAGCTAGCTAATAATGAGCCCTACAAATCGACAAACAATTTTGTAATTAATATAAGTCTCTGTGTGATTTTGGGGGCTGAAGTAGCAGTGGGACCACGTTGGAAATAAAACTCCAGCAATAGTTTTGTGTCTATAAAATACAGTTATATTAATGTATAATTTCTGATATCTGATGTGTAATACAAAATATGCATCCTAAATTTTGTTGAAAGTATTTCATTCTAAAAACATTCAACAAGAAGATTCTTTTTAAAAATAACTATTGGATAACTGATCTGACTTAAGGCATACTCCATAAGATGGAACCCATGCCCAACACTGCCTGAGTGACCAGAAACCTGAGACTAGATGGTCCCGGAACCTAAGGCAAAATCAAATAACACTGGTCTAAAATAAATAAATAAATAAAAAATAAAAAACAGAAAAAGAATGCTGTGATAATTAGTGACTCTTAATGGCATTCTGTTATACCCATGGGTAATAGATCAGAGTATTTTTCATCCATCATCAGAGAAGCTTCCTTTTGCAGAAGATAAACAAATACAGAAAACCACAGCCAAACAACATACAGAGAGTAAGAGATCTTGACCTTGGGACACTAGCCCTAACTGGGATGTCTCCATCAAATCCCACCCTTCAGAGTTCAGGGAAACCTGCAGAAGAGGAGGAGAAAAGAATGCAAGAGTCAGAGGGGATGGAGGACACCAACAACTAAAGGCCCTCTCAATCAACTGAGCATAGCTCATACAAATTCTGTGTTTGTGTTATGGCTTCCAGTTTAGTGTTTTCCTGAGTGTGTGAACACCTGGGTCTCTATTTCTTGTGCCTTCCTCTAGGCTCTTTTCCCTCAGTTTGTCTTAAGTTTTTGTTTTATTATATTTTTAAAAATGAACAAATGAATGAAAACCTAGTTACTAAGGTAAAGGTTAACATTGAACTGTCATTTTTAACTAATAGGAAGGGGAAATCAGTTTTTAACAATGAATGATATTGGCTATATCAAATATTCCAGTCTCATACTCAGGAGTAGTTGACCAACAAATAATGGACTCCATATTTGTTGGTGTGTGTGTGTGTGTGTGTGTGTGTGTGTGTGTGTGTGTGTGTGTGTGCACATGCATGTACACTTTGGTTAGTTTACTTTTCTTTGGGGGTGATATTATGTTTTGTTTTCTAGGTTTTGAGCATTTCATTGCTGTATTTGCTTATTTTTGAGAAGGAATTTAAAGTTGGGTAGGGAGGACAGAGGAGAGGATCTGTACAAATTTGGGATAGCTGAGGAAAATGATCAAAATGTATTTAAATTTAAAATTTGTTTTAAATAATAAAAATAACTATGTGAAGTTTTAAGTTAGGAACCAATACAGATGGGTTCCACTATGACACCAGTGGCTCAGGAGACTGTGGCAGTCAAATTGGTAAAGTCCAGAATTATAGAACATTTTGTATTTCATAATATAGAGAGTCCTTGAAGTTTAAAAAATGTACTTACTTATTCTTTGAGGATTTCACACATTATCATTTTATCACACTCCTTCCCCATGCCCCATTTTCCATCCATCTGTCACCAAACCTCATGAGTATGTGTGGGTTCTCACCTGTGACTGTGTGTGTGAAGGACAGAGATTGACTATAGGTAGCTTCCTCCTTATTCTATGTGCTTGCTATTTTGGTTAGACCAGCTAACTAACAAGTTTCAAGAATCTGCCGTGTCCAACCTTACCCCCAGCACAGAGGTTACACACCATTGAGCCTTGGAACCTGAACTCAGTATCTCAAGCTTGTACAACACTTTACCCTCTGAGAAATCTTCTCAGCCTTCACTAAACAATTATCTGACCCCAACTGGCATGTATTTTAAAATTTAATTCCTTAATATGCAGTATTTTTGTCTATTTTTTAAGACATGGTCTCACTATTATATAACTCTAGCAGTCCTGGAACTTACTATGCAGACCAGACTGGTCTCAAACTCACAAAGATCTGCTTCCCTTTATCTACCGAGTGCTGTGATTAAAGGCATGTTGCCATCATACTCGACTTAACATGCAATATTTTCAAAAATACAAAAATGTTAAGAGATTTATAATTATTTGTATTTCCATATAACACATTTCTAGGTTATGTTTCACCATAATTTGACAAACAAGTCACTTCTGTTTGCATGATTTATATCTATAGAAATTAACTCAAGCTAAATAGTGCAGAAACTCATATTTTATAACTATTTTATTCCTGTGTGCAGGAAGTTAAGAACTACAAGGCCAAAAGATGAGCCAACCTGGGATCTGCCTGGTGCTGTCAGAAGTCCTGATCATGCCTATCCAATGAGGGGCAACCATGTAATGTCAACAGATAAGAGTGGTGTTTTGGAAGGTGCATAAGCCCTCACCCACCCCCGTTGCTAAATTAATGAGCCTGCTGTTTCCCTGTCACATGACTCCCGGCATCTGTGCCTTTGGCACAGCACCTTCTAACCCACTCCCCAGAGGCAGCCATTAGGATATAGCTTCGTCTGTGGGTTTGAACTGAAAACTGTGCTCTTTCCATGAAAGAAAGGACACATATTGTCATGAATCTTGTATGAAATGATTGATGGATGACAGCCACACACCCAACTTCTGACCAGAAGCATCTAACTCAATCACAGGTCAATAACAGGTCATATTGACGGACAGGCCATGCACTCAATGACAGGTCAATAACAGGTCATATTGACGGACAGACCATGCACTCAATGACAGGTCAATAACAGGTCATATTGACGGACAGACCATGCACTCAAGAACTACTGGTCAATAACAGGTCATATTGACGGACAGGCCATGCACTCAATGACAGGTCAATAACAGGTCATATTGACGGACAGGCCATGCACTCAAGAACTACTGGTCAATAACAGGTCATATTGACGGACAGGCCATGCACTCAAGAACTACTGGTTGCAAGGTAACATTTGAGCTGTGAGTAACTTGTCTCTGGAAAGTAAGAAGAGGAGAATACATAAAAATAAAAATATGAAGAACCTACCACACAGAAGGAAAATTGTTACACTTCAATTCAAATTCTATATAATAATAATGTCACATAGCCTATGGAGTGTTTGAATAAAGACCAACCCAGGTGTACACTACTGTCCCCTCAAAACACTAGATAGCATTATGAACTATTTCCCTTAATGTGGGGTAGGGTTAACATCATCCTATTCCTGCCTCTATAAATATACTGAAATCAACTAGACGTACAGAAAGATAGAATCCAAACTTTAACCTAGGTGTTACTGATTGGTAATGTAAAGTCACAAGTTCTGAACCACTGGGAATGGCCACCCTTGTACATGAATCTAAGACAGGTGCTATCAACTCTACATTTTTCAAAATTGTTATTGTATATCCATAAGATACAATTTGATTTTATTTTGTATAATTTAAAGAGGTTAAGCTGGGTGATGCTGACATATACCTTTGATCCTAGCACTTGGGAGGCAGAGGCAGGTGGATCTATGTGAGTTCAAACACTCTAATCTACACAACAATGCCAGGACAGGCTCCAAAGCTACACAGAGAAACCCTATCTCAAAAACTCCCCCAAAAAGAAGATATATATATGGAAGACCAAAAATAAACAAAAACATGCCACACTTAAAATCTAATGATGAGTTACTGTTGATTCTAAGAACATTCTAAACTTTATAATTAGATAGAACTCAAACATAGAATAAAATTTTCTATTGGTTCTATAAGATAACTTGAAGGTGATTGCATTTGGTTAGTGCTACACTAATAAACAGAACAAAACACTAAAGGAGAAATTGTTTCCTTACCAAGTGTTGCTGATGTGCAATGACGTCATCCTCATCATCATCTCCCTTCTGTTCTTCTTCCGACGACACTTCTATGACTACCTCTACAGACAAATCTATATGTTTTGTAAACATAAACTTTAAAATAACATAAAATAATAGTCTCTATGTCAATATGTTGAAACAGCTTAAAATCGATGATAACAAAGTGCATTTTTGTTTTCCCAAGGAATTTCAGGTAACCTTAAGCTTTACCATCTGACATGAATGATGCTTTCTGACAAGTTATCTGTTAAGAGTCCATCTAACATCTAAACTTACCCTATATTATGCCTCTCCCTAGATAAGCAGGTGGCACTTTGCATAGGGCTACCACAGCACTATGATGGTAGAACTTATCATTTCCCCTTGAGCTATAAACTACTTCTTTATGTATTTATACAGTTCACCCTCAGACTCAAGTGGGCAATCTTTTCAGTCATCTAAATATGTATTCTTTCGTTGTTTTGCTCAATAATTGATTATTATGCACCTTCTGGGTAATGGCTTGGTGCTTTTGAAAGTGTGCTTGAAATGTACAGTGATGACCTTTCCTTGAGATGATGCCTGGTCTGACATTGAAAGAGCAACATTAGGTAGAGGGAGGGCAGGAAATGATGATAGCATGAAAGACGGCAACAGCAGAAGAGGGAGAGGGGTACTCAACAGAGTGCTTGTCTAAAACACAGTTATGGGTGAAGATGGAAACATCAGTAATGATACAGAAAAGAGCTACAGAGGTAGATGTGTGCAGAGGTACATCATGAAAGTCTTGTAACTGAGAAGTTGTATGTTAACGTCTCCATGTTGCATTGTACATGTATGTTCTAAAAGAGGTGGAGAAGGTGCAAGTGGAATATGAATGAATGGAGGAAGATGAACTCCCAGAAGGCAACAAAGCAGAGATAAACATAATGCAAAGCAGACACAGAGGTAGTGTTTTCAGAAATATCTAGGGTATATCCTTATTAATGCCGAAAAGAGAGTGGATTTTGTTAAATGAAAGAAATGCACAAATCTGCGTTCCTCAAGTATAGAATGCTAGTAATTACTTGGGGGAAAGAAAAAATTAGATGTAAAAAGAAACTCAGCTGTTTGTAATTGTCCTTGGTTGCTCAAGATTTCTACTTCATTGTAAATTTTGAGGGAATTCACTTAGCTCTTGTTGTAAGCATTGTGCTTTTTGTTGTTACAAAGCTGAGCAAAATAATAATAATAGAAGGTCTTGGGAGTGACACAAGAAAGCTATGCAATATCAAGTGAAAACTCATGGGATTTTCAAAGCATATTCCCCAATGTAAAAAGGAAGAAAGCAATACAGCAAACATGACAGGTGAAATAGTAACAATGTTTGGAATTGTAGCTTACTCAAAAATGTACAATATCATGTCGGATGATTGCTACATACCAGAAGTAATGATTTTTCAGCACTAAACTGGTATAGAATGTTGTACTCAACTTAGAGATAACAAATGGACTGAATGTGAAATGAAAAATTGTTTCTGTGTTTCTTCTTTAATAGAATATATCTTGTTTTACAATCACAACACAGAACTTCTGGGTACAAGAAATATGCTGCTTCTGTCTCCCAAGTGGCTGAGAAACCAGGTGTGGATCATGACACCCTGATCTCTAGTAAGCATGTTTAAACTTTGAAAAATCCAAGAAATCTAATAATAATCTTTATATGTGCATGTTATGTTTCAAGTCCAAATCCATACATTTTTTGGTCCAGAAACACGAAACTAGAAACCTTTAAGCCAGTCTCTACATATTTTTAATCTTCTATTTATGTTTGTAAATGACTCTCCTTAAAACACTGATAACAGCAGTGAAAACTGAATTGCTATGTCAGATTTTACCACAAGTATTGGGGAATAGAATTAAGATTGTGAAAATGGTAGATAGTTATAATATTTTTTCTTTCCAGATTCTGTTGAAGTATAAAATTTACCTGATTTGGAAGGCTTTAACCTGATGATTTCCACTTCATCTGCAGACTTTTTCTCTGTAGCTGTAGACTGGATAGGATTCAAAGCAAGATATTTAGTAAATGTTGTATGATTTACAGTGTATATCCTTAATAATTCAAGAAAAAGTTATGTGCTTTACCTTTGAGAGATCATCTTTTTCAACCCATGCTAAAAGGTAATAGAGAAAATGGACAAAATTATGAATTGTGACAACACCCACTCTGAGCACATAAAGAGATAAGATGGGGATGACAGTCATGCTTTACTTGAAAAATAATTACTTAATTTTATATTTACTCTGGTCAGCACAGAAACATATAATATGCTGATGAAATGAATACATATTTAATGAAACATACAGTTAATATTTCAAAATAGTGATAATAAACCCAAGGGATGTAACTAAAGTAGGAAAAGTGTACATCTAGGGATGGAACATTTTAGCTGATGGAGAGGGTTGTGATCTACAATAAGAGGAACAAAAGACCCCAACAGGTAAATGACAAAGTTGACTAGATGAGTATCCAAGTCTCCTGTAATTTAAGAAGAACAGTGTTTTCATTATCTGTTGGCTGAAATGTAGAATTTATTTTTGAGGGTTGATGGGGGAAGGCCTTCTGTGAATATGTAAATAAAGCACTTCTGGCCAATAGAGAAGCAAGATATGTGAGACTAGGAGTCAAGGAGAATTCTGGGAAATATAGTCAAGAGGAAAGGGTCGCCATGTGATCTCCCAGGAAGGAAGTATGCCTCAGGAGTGTGTCCTCAGAAAGATAAGTCCCTATAAAAATACATATTAGTAATAAGTCAGAGCTAGCCAATGAAAAACAATAACAAATGGCTAACAGATTAATAATTAATATAGTGTCTTATGTGTTATTTGGGGACTGAGACAGCGGCTGGACCCAGGTGACTGGTGGGAAGACTACATGTTACAGAGGGTGATAAGTTTCCAAATTGATAAGAATAGAAATACAGCTCCAGAATAAGAGTTCATAAAATATTCCTTCCTTCATCCAAATGGTGAAACAAACATTTCAGACAAATAACTTCAAAATTTTGTTTTTAGGTTTATTTACTTTACTTTATATAGATAAATGTTTAGCCTGCACATATACATGATGGATCACCATGGGGGTACTGGGTCCTCTGTAAGAGCAACAAGTATTGTCAATGACTGAGCCATCTCTCCAGTCCCTCAATTAACGTTTTTAAATTTAAGTTTCTTACCTAGAACTCTTCCTTTTGTGATGTCTTTGCCTTCTTCTTCCCGAGTCCCTGAGAAATGACTATCCCGAAAAACCCTCTCAAAGAGTCTCTGTTAAAATTCACATCAAGAAAGAGTTAACACAACTTTTGTCAATCATTTTCTAAATATATGTCACAATTATTATTTTGAAAGCAATTAAACATAAGTTAAGAGAGTGTACTAGAATGAATATATTTCACCAAAGAACCTGGCATATGTTCCCCAGGTCAAATCTGTTTTACTTTCATGGCTTCTCAGTGTTTAATCAAGCATGAGAGTTGATAGTAGGCATAGTCTTAAAAATTCTAATATTTACTCTCATGCAAACCTCAATAAGGAAACTTCCTTTAAAATATATAATACAGGGGTTGGGGACTTGGGGACTTAGCTCAGAAGTAGAGAATTTGCCTACCAAGCTCAAGGCTCTGGGCTTGGTCCTCAGCTCAAAAAAAATCTAACGGTTTTCAGACCATAAAGAATATTTTTACAATACAAATTCCTAAATATTTACTTTCTATAAATAAAATATTAGTTATTTGAGATATTTTAAACAACATAAATTGCTTCTATTTTAAAATATGATACTCAGCTTGAGAACTGAACCCACAGAATATAATAATGAGAATAAACAATTTCAGATGTTGCTTCATTTAGCTTGCAAACGTTTACTATGTGCTTGTGTTCACATGCAAGTTTGCATATGGAAAAATGTGTGCTATGCATGTGAGTGTCCATGTATTAAGAGGCCAATCCTGCCATTTACTGACAGAATGTTAGTGTCATGTTTCTATATAAAGTATCTACATCACTTGGCCCTAATTATAGTCTTATGGAAACTAGAACAGTGCATAGCATTAATATATTTAGTGGTTTCCTTCATTTAGATTAAGACAAAGAGAAAAGATAGTGACTCTACTCTCACTCCAGAGGGTCCATCACGGAAGGATCAGTCAGTCACTGACTGAACAAAAAAGCTGTTAAATTTCCTACTCCCTCTTTTTACAAAACACTGAAGTCAACTAGATACCAAAGAAAGTTTTGAAAGTTTAATCAAACCATTACTGGCCAATAGCATGAAACCATAAACTTGATTCTAGGAATAATCACACTCATGGCTGAAACTGCTATGTTGTTTGTAACTCCAACTGCTTTTCTATAAGGTTTGATTCTTACAAGGCCTTTCTGTCATGGAGTGAAATCACAGATAAGAAAACACACTACTTGCTCATATACTAAGTGTAGCTACATGTCACTGCCCTGTTTATGTCTTATAGCTAGTTGAAACACTTTAGAAAATAAACATGGAATCATCTACTAAATCTTCAAGGCAGTTTGAAGAAAATTCCAATTAACCTTTAAAATAGTTGTCAGGGCCCATAAAAATGGCTTCACTTCATCTTGGCTTAAGGTCAGAGAGTTCAAAACTAGCCTTATTCTTCCAAGGCTAAAGTCATAAGACCCAAAGGTCTAAGGCATGGTTACCATAGGATGTTTGATCTCGGTACTGATGTCTTATCTAAATAACAAGACACTTGCTCTGAGGTGTGGTTACTCTTAACCCTCAAGGCCAGATTGCAAGAGAGTTAGTCTAAGGTGTGGTTACCAAATATTTAGAGAATTAAAGAGGGTCTATTTCTTCCTTGGATCTTGATAAAGAAGACCTTTACCATGTTCCCCTTTTTGGTTGGGGTATTTAAGGATGTTGAAGAATAAACCTGGATCATTCAGTATTCACTGGATTGTCCTCCTGTTCTGTGTCTCTGTCTTTTCCTTAGCATCTTTACTTGCCACTTCTCAATCCACATTCCCCCTCTCAGCTATGAACCGGGCAAGTCTGCTGGATACGCCTGAAGCCCCACAAAAACTGGATGCAACAAACAGTCTTCAATGAAATCAGACAATATTGAATGAGAAATTGAAACTTTACCAAGTGTCCTTTCATTTCTTTGTGATCACGCTTTTTTGACTTTCTCTCTGAGGACACTCGTAAGCCTGGTTCTGGAGACAAAATAGGCATGTTGAGATATATGCATATCATATGTCTATGCTGAAAATAAGTTATTAGTAAGAGTTAGTAAGGTCACATTTTCTGTAGCAATTTATAGAACATTACATATATAGATAACATCTTACAACCTTACCACATAAAATTATTGATTACTATACCTAACACTTCTACTTATGAATTGGGTGGTGCAATCTTTTTCCCGTTCATTCATTCATTTCTTCTTTCATTTATTTTGAGATAGGGTCTCCAATAGAGGAAGAGGAGTGAATGGAAAGTAGTGTTAAAAATGAAGATGAAACTACACTGTAAAGATCCTAGAAGTATTCCTAAATTTATAATATAAACATCAATTTTCACAATAGGGGAATTTTAGGTTTTTTTAAAGTACTAATCTGGATTCCTGAAGAACAGAACTCTTGCCATCAACATGAACAATTAGCAAGTTTGATGAGAGGGCAAACAGTGTATCTCCCAGTTATAAGCACTTTGTGGGTTACGTTCTCATGGTCAATACTGTATGATTTACATTTCTATGGTTGATGCTGAAGGGGCTCCATCTAATGTTTTCCAGCAAGTGTTCTGTGTTTATTTCTATTGAACCATGTGATTAAACCAGAGTGGGACTGGAGGAGCAGCTCCATATAGAGGTTAAATTTAAGATGGAGTTAGAATAATTCTGAATCACTCAGGAAAAAAGAAAATAATAGAAAAGCAATTATTTGAGAAAGCCAAGGTGAACAGAGTGAAAGGGAGGTTAATGGAGGTGGCTTTGATCACAGTATTTTCCATACATGTATGAGATGATCAAAACTGACTTAAAAACAAGCAAATAAGAAAAAGTAAAGGTGAAGAAATTTTAAATATAATAATTCATTATGACAGATATATGAATTTGGTTTTATATATTATATCTCATAATATAATATTATATTCTATGATCAAATATCTATCCATGACACCACTAAATTAACTGGGAAAACTGAATTATTAATAAATGACCTAGTGTCAGAATGTGACTAAAATGGGCTTTCATTTATTTATCTTTGGATAGAAATGTTCTTGCTATGTGCCAAAGCAAGTCCAGAACTCATAGGCTCCAGGATCTGAGACTCTGGTTGTGTCACAGCATTTGCATCTCTGACATTTCATTTCTATTTTGACTGATGTTTTTAAGATTATCATGAATACCTATACCTCACCATGATACATTTATATATAATCGTCTTCTATGTCCTCAATTGTACCCAGTCCGAGCAGGTTTAAATTTTAGGAGAATCTAATAAACCTCATGATTAACCTTGGTAAGCACCTATTAGGAACAGTTTCTAAACTGGTAAATTTAAGGCACTGAAACAGAAAAGGAGAAAAAATGTAAGCTGAAACTTATTTGTCAACACCTCATACATTTTTCTGAAATATGGATGTCAATGACAGCACCTGCACTGGAGATGACAAATGTCCCCATTCTGTGTAGTTGACTGGATTTGGAATGGGGATGCCTATGCACATTAAAATTTCTCCTACTTTGTTCCTAATAATTAGAACTGCAGTTTTCACCTAATTTTGATGGTCTTCCCCCTGCTTTGTTCATTGCTTCACTTTGAGGAGAGTCTTCTACTTCTGGGGTTGGCTAGATGGGTTTTGAAACAAGGATGATAGTTAAATATCATATATTTTACCCAATATCTACTTAGTAGTTCAAGATAATGTCGTTAAAGGTTATTACCATTGAGTGTGCCTCTTTCTCAGCATTCTCTAAAAAGCAAAAGGAAATATGATCAATTTAAATGCAAAGCAAAGGCAACCAGCATTCAGGAAGACACAGTAAAGAGAAAAATTCTAATGTTCAATATTTCCAAACTACATTTTAGTTTTAAATGATCAATAGGCACTTAGAAATTTCTTTTCCTAAAAAAATATTTTTCTTCACTTGTTTTGCAATGCCATTAAAACCAGGATCAAACTTTGGCATTCCTCTTTTGGAATCTGTCTTCTGTGCTGTGGGCCACCCACTAAACTCTACACACAGGTATATTAAACACATAGTATCTGACTAGAAATAAGTGAGGCCTAACCTACATGACTCCTGTTCAGGCTGAAGCACAGCAATTGACTGTGATGTCTGGGCTGTCTCAGGAAACAAGGCATCATCTCCTGAGAAGTGGCATGCCCCTTCAACCAATAAGGATTCTCTTCAGAATTGGAACTGCCACAATGTTCATCTGGGCCAAACCTTGACCATGACTCCTGAGTTATACAACCTCTTTAGCCTGCCTCAATTCTGATGTGATGTTATCTGTACCTAAATCTGTCCCAGGACTCTGAAGCTGAGCCCTAGACCCCTGGATTCCATTATGTGGTCTTCTTTCCAGTATGTACATTGTATGAATGTTTCTCTGATTCTCACACTTAATATTCCTATTGAGAAAGGTGGCTATGTATGGCTATCTGAGGGTACTGGAGGTTTAGCTCTGAGACAAGCTATAAGTAAGAGGACAAGAAGCAGGAGGAGGCAGGGAAGGTTGAACGTATAATGAGGTGGACATCATCAAAATATATCACATGAAATGGTTAGAAATGTTAAGTCAATAAAAATTACTAAAGAGACAAAGAAAATGTAATCATAAACAAGACAATGGGAAGTAGGTTGATTTGATTTGATGCATATAACCAGTTATATAGTGGTATATTCTATGATCAGATACATAGTTGATAAGATCATTAAATTAGCTAGTGAGTAACTAGAATCAGAAATAGAAGACCTGGCACCCTGGTAGACTTAAAATGGATTCGTTGTTGTTGTTTCTAATAGAGGGTCTCTTGCTATGTAAGAAGACTAACCCACAACTTTTAGGTTTGAGGAATCTTTTGCCTGATTTCCCACAATTTGGGATCACAGGCTATATCACAGCACCTGCACCTCCAGCATTTATTTTTCTTTTCTACTTTATTCTTTTTTGGGGGTTATCATAAAAAGTTATGCTTCTTGCTGTGACAGTCACACATAATTGTCCTTAGGCTTTGTTCTCATTTGTTCCATACTGAAGACAGTTTTAAACTATGGGGAAACCTAAAAATAAAAAGTCTTATGACTAACCTCTTTAAATATCTATGAAGGATGGAGATTCCAAAATGGTAAATTCAAAGTATTAAAACAAGAAAGGATAAAAACTAAGTCCAGTTTGTCAGCATCTCTTACATGTACCAATGAAGACCTTCTTCTGAAATGACCATTTCCTTGGCTGTGACCACTTACACCATCTCCTTGTGGATGGGTAGCATTGGGAATGGGAATCCTGAAAGCACTGACATTTCACCTACTTTTTTCAAATAACATAAAACTGGAAATTTTACCTGGTTTTGATGGTTTTGTCTTTTCCACTCCTTCACTTTGGAGAGAATCTTTCACTTCCGTGGTATGCAGGAAGGGCTTTGAAACAGGGTAATTGTTAAGTGTTAATTGCTTCATACTGTACCTACTGAGTAATTCAAGAAAATTATAAAGGTCATTACCATTGAGCAAGCATTTTTCCTCTTGATTTCTACAAAGCAAAAAGAGATACAAACAATCCATGTAGACCACAAGGGGGATGAGCATTCACAAATGAGCAGAATTTCATGTCTGTAGTTCAAACCAAGTGTTTTATTAATTTTGGTCACTCGTCAGGAAACTATAGGCACTTAGAGACTGTGTTAAAAAGCACTAGTATCTCACGTGGTCCTACAATATAACTGAAAATGTGAAAAGGCCTCAACATCTGCCCATGTAAAATCTTTCTCCTTTGTTGCTGTGTATCCTACCAACCTTGGTACACAGGAATATTAAACATTAAGAACTGTCCTCCTAAAACATAGTGATGTCTAGCCTCTATCATTCCTCTTCAGGGTTAAACTCACAGAGAGTAACTGAGACAGCTTATTCTCAACTTCCAAGTCTGTCACTCTAGGTTCTCGAATGGTGCCTAAAGACTCTACTTATCTGGGGACAAGAGAGCCTTGCATGATAGATCTATTCCCTGAGAAAGGTCCCACTCCATGGTGGCAAAGCTGTCCCTGGAGCATGAGCAATCATGCTTGTCCCCTCAATCAACAAGAACTCCTTTCAGACCACTAACTGAGCAGAACTGGCACAGTGTCCTTCAGGCATACCTTGGCTATGACTTATGCAACCTCTTCATCCTGCCTCAGTTTATCTGTACCTAAATCTGTGACAGGACCCTGAAGATGAGTTTGGTATTCCATTATGTGTTCCTCTTCCAAATATGTACATTGACTAATATTTCTCTGATTTTCACACTTACTGCAAATCTTTTTTCTTTCTTTTTTAATTTAAATTTAAATTAGAAACCAGGTTGCTTCACATGTTAATCCCAGGTCCCTCTCCTTTTCACTCCCCTCCTCCCACACCCTCTCACCAACCCTCCCATGGCCCCTCTTTTCCCCAGGGAGGGTGAGGCCCTTCATGGGGGTGTCCATAGTCTGTCATTTCATCCAGGGCAGGGCTTAGACCCTCCCCCAAGAGTCCAGGCCGATAGAGCATCTCTCATTGTGGAATGGGCACCCAAAGTCCATTTGTATGTCAGGGATAAATACTGATCCACTACCCAAGGCCTCATAGATTGCCTAGGTTTCCTCACTAACACCCACATTCAGGGGGTCTTGATCAGTCCCATGCTGAATTCCCAGCCATCAGTCTGGGATTCACGAGCTACCCCATGTTCAGGTCAGCTGTTTCTGGGGGTTAAACCAGCAACTTACTGGAAATCTTAATATTCCCATGGGAATGGGTAGCTGAACACAGCTCTTTTGGGGCTGCTGGAACTTAGCTCTGAAACTAATTACAAGTAAGGACAGTGACAGGGCATAAGTACACTAGTAGAAAATATGAATACATATTTTGTCAGTTTTTTTTTTGGTTTTTCAAGACAGGGTTTCTCTGCATTGCTTTGGAGACTGTCCTGGAACTTGCTCTTGTAGACCAGGCTAGCCTTGAACTCACAGAGATCTGCCTGCCTCTGCCTCCTGAGTGCGTGCACCACCAATGCCCGGCCTATTTTGTCAGTTTTAAAGTTAATATACAAAGCAGTGAGTTTAGTCTTAACATTTCATGACACAGACTCTTTTTTTTTTTTTGGTTTTTATGAGACAGGCTTTCTCTGTGTTGTTTTGGAGGCTGTCAGTCCAGCCCAGCCTCGAACTCATGACACAGACTCTTGTTCTTCCTTTCTCATTATCTTCCCCATCCCTAGTGCCCTCTGCTAATTCCCTCCTCCCTCCCATTAGCATAACTTCCTGTTTCTTCATGCCATGTGTGAGGAACACACAGTAAATAATAAGGTACATGGTAATGATTTAGGAAGTGTGATTTTGTTCCCAGTGAATGTAAAGAATACAGAAAGTGGGCATATGTCAGTGTGACAAGATAGTTAATAGAAAAAAAAAAGATCTCCATGAAGAAGAGCTATCCATGAGCCCAAGTGAATAAATTTCAGTGCTGATTAGAGAATATGATATCATACTTATTCACTTACTAAATTCAGTACATTCATTCGAATATTTCAGAGAAAATCCATTTTCTAACAAGTCCAATTTTAATATAGCAATCATACAATTTTAATGTATATAATGATATGCAAATTTCAAATAAATTAAGTAAAGACAATTTTACATAAGATTTTTTTGGATTAAATTTTTATATAATTTATTTCTTAGAGGATTCTGATCTCTAGGCCCTTAGAAAACAAGATAAGATAAATACCAATTCAATTTATACTCAGTTTCAAACTTTCATAGCTCTTTCTTCTAGTTGGAAGACTAAGAGTAATTCAGTATCGGAAGTCTCACCTGAACATGTTTGTCTCCGTTCTCCTTCATCATAGTCAATCAGTAGTTTCCTACTGTCAGGGACCAAAAGAATGGCAAGTCAACTTACTATTTCAATGCTGACATGCACATTACACTCAGAGGAGCATTTCAGGCATTATCCATGGCACTATCAGAACTTTTAAACATATGTTACAAACATGTGGATCCTGTGTTTTATTAATTGTGTAACTAAACAAGGAAAAACGAGGCAGAATTGTCATGAATCAAAAGCAAATCAACTCCACACATGAATTTCTCAGCATAATGGAAAGTGTCCTGAACTCAGAAGAAATCTTACGTTTATAGCCAATAGCTGCTTTTTCTTGGACATGTTATTTATACTAGGCTTAAAGTCTTCCTTGAAAAAAATTACATTACTGCTTTTGTTTATCAGGATGATAAGATTAAATAAGATAATATAAGGTATGCATGACAAATAGAAAAGCAACAAGATAATTTGTCTCTTAAGGCTGAACTCCCAAATAATGTTCAACTCGTATTCCTTGCAAGATCTTGTTTGCATGAATTAATAAAAGACCCAGAGACAGATTTTGGGGTTCAACCTGAAGATCAGGGAAGCAAAGCAGCCAGCCACTAGTTCTCACCTCTAGCTCATTCTGAAAGGGCTGACCCAAGCCTCAAACTATTGCCTCTCAGTGCAGCTGGAGAAGGAATGTCTCCTACTTCAGTGTGGCTGGAGAATAAATGCCTGACACTGAGTCCTTGCTCCTGTCTTATATACTTCTCATGAGTCCTGGGATTAAAGGTTTGAGCTATAATTCTCTTATAGGATAGCCTTGGACTCACAGAGATCCATCTATCTACCTATTAATCCTGAGTCCTAGGATTAAAGGTGTGTACCACCACCTCCTAGCTTCTGACCACTGGGTTTAATGGTGTGCGCCTGGTATCTTCTTTTAATTTCTTTCTTTAAAGACTCAAAGTTCTTGCTATACAGCCCATTTATCATCTATAAATAGTAGGACTACTGAATATTTTAGTTAATCTTGTATCCTGCCACTTTGCTGAAGATGTTTATTAGCTGTAGGAGTTCCCTGGTAGAGTTTTTCTGGTCACTTATGTAAACTATCATATCATCTGCAAATTTGACTTCTTTCTTTCCAATTTGTATCCCCTTGATCTCCTTTTGTTGTCTTATTGCTCTAGTTAGAACTTCGAGTATAATATTGAAGAGATATGGAGAAAGTGGACAGCCTTGTCTTGTTCCTAATTTTAGAGGAACCGAGTTGACTTACTGTCCATTTAGTATGATGTTAGTATGATGTTGGCTGTTGGTTAATCCAATTAAAAAGTGGGATACAGAACTAAATAGAGAATTCTCAATAGAGTAATCTAAAATGGCTGAAAGACACTTAAGAAAGTCCTCAACACTCTTAGCCATAAGGGAAATGCAACTCAAAACAACTTTGAGATACCATCTTACACCGGTCAGAATGGCTAAAATCAAAAACACCAATGACAGTCAATGTTGGAGAGGATGTAGAGAAAGAGGAACACTCCTCCATTGCTGGTGGGAGTACAAATTTGTACGACCTCTTTAGAAATCAGTATGGCAGTTTCTCAGGAAAATGGGAATGAGACTACCTCAAGATCCAGCAATTCCTCTCCTGGGTATATACCCAAAGAATGCACTTTCATACAACAAGGAAATATGTTCAACTATGTTCATACTAGTGTTGTCTGTAATAGCCAGAACCTGGAAGCAGCCCAGATACACAAAAGAGGGCCTAGGCCCTCCCCCAAATAATGTAAGGGAGGGCCTAACTATCCTTGGGGAGTGGATTGGAGGGTGGGGGCCATGGGAGGATGGGAGGGTAAGGAATGGGAGGATTGATATGTAAAATAACATTGTTTCTAAAATAAAAAAAATTATAAAGTAAAAAAAAAACGGTGTGTGCCTGGCTTCTATGGCTTGTGGCTGACTTTACCTTCTGAATCCTCAGGCAAGATTTAATAAATCATAAATATATCACCACAAATCCCCTTTTTTATTACCAACTGTATAAAGATCTTATTAGCTATTTTTCTTTGTCACATAGTTCAAAGGAAAGTATCCATTTAATATTTCAAAATCTAAACAGCTAAACAATGTGAAATTATTTGTACCTCAAATATATGAATTGTATTTGGGCTAAAAATGCAAAATGCTTACATAATAAAGATAAAAGTCTTAACAATTCCTGAGCTATCAAAACACTAGTATGGACTTAATGTCAATACACAAATGCCAAGTGATTTCCAGTCCATGTCCTCCCATGTCCCACCATATCAAATGGCAAGCAGAATCTTGATGCCCTAGGTCTAAATGACTCCTGGCCTTTTAGTCCCCACAAACACCCAGACCACCCAATGCCTCTAGACTCACAACAGCTTCCAGTGACCTTAGATCCCCCAATGCCTCCTGGTCCCTCAAATTACCAATTCACTCAGGTGTCCAAGTGCCTGGGGATCTAACGGGTTCTCAAAATGTCCTTCACTCAGGTTTCTTGGTATCAACAGGTGGTCCATATATCCCAGCACCCATCGTATTCCAGTCTCCTTAGGGAACCCAGGGACTCCCAAAACCCTATTAGCCCTATCTCTCTGGATGTAAAATGTGAGGGCACACTATGTTAAAAGGCAACAGTAGCAGCTAGAAAAGTGTAACATCCAACCTACAGGGATCACATGGCCCTGACAGAAAGGGTTAACCTGCATTGGAAGCTGATGTCCATGGAATTCTGTGACTACAAGTGTTTGCCATGTATGTATGTGTTTCCTTCAGATGATGTTGCCCATAGCTCCATATGGTTCAGCTCTGTGTTTCTTTTGGTGGGTAGCAATATGCATTCTCAAGATTAGGGTCTTACAAACTTTCTTCATCTACAGCGTTGAAAAAGTTCTAACCTAAGAGAGATTAATACAGTCCTTAGATAAATTACTTGCCTAAAATCATGTGAACTCAGGCTCAATTGTCAGCGTCCACCCCCACCACACTACACACGCATAACCAAAATAAAAATCGGAAGACAAAGAATCCCACATTCATTGCTACTTCTAATTCATCCACAGCTTTGATTAGTTTCTGGGTGATGGACTAAGTCACTGCCATTCCAAACTAAATAAGATGTGGTAGTTATAATTATTTTGCATCTCTATTTATTGTTGATTGAGTAAATGTGAACACTTACACTTTGCTTTTACTTTCAACAGCGTAACGTTTTGCTGTCCATCCAAAGGCATCTTGCTTAAAGGTATCAATATCTCTTTGAAGAAGAAGTTTGATGATGAGTTCTGAACCACACCTTACGGCATACATGAGGGTGCTTCTAAAAGAGCAGAGGTAGAGTCTGGCAGTGAGGTACTTGAATAAAGTTGTTAAACACCTCACTGAATGTGTTTTACCAGCTGTAAATATTGCCTGCCTATGTAGAATTGACCATCTACTAACAGACATGAACATCTTGGAAGCTCAAATGTTCATCCTGTAAGTTCTCTCCAGGATGAATCAGGAAGAAATAAACAGGAAGACTGTTCTCCCAGTATGGATTTTCATAGTAGAATTTATAGTTCCATATCCTTTCGTTCACAAATTCTGAGGCTATTCATCAAAGTAGGTGAATATTTAAGTGGAGAATTGTTTCTTCCCTAGTCTAACATAATATACTGTAATACATAATCAGCTGAAGATCTGAGGAGAAAAGCTTATTTGCACAACTAACATACTTACAGTATAATTACAAAATAAATAATTCTAATAATAATGGTGGTAACACTGTATGTAGGAGATGACCATGTGCTAGAACTATGTAGTACATAACACATAACATGTATTGGCACAACCCTGCTTTTTGAATCAGAAAGTAATCTAGTGATGTGTAACATTCCTAAGGTTGTACATTCAGGAAGTGTGACTGTAGGAATTAAGTTCAGTCTTGTGTGAATATTGAGATTTATTCTTGTCACCCAAGGGTGATTTTTATTCATCAAAACTTACTCAATAAAAGTAGTTTTTGTATTCTTTTGACCATGCCAAGTAATAAAGTTTCAAAATAAATTCAGAGGGAAAAATTTTTTTAAAGTAGAGAACCATGTGGTAATAGAAATTAATAGTTATTGAGGGATAACCAAACAATATTTTGCAAAGAAATATAATGCAAACAGCCAATCCAACAGATTTTCATTTTTAAGGAAGCAGTACATAAGAAGAATGGGTGACAAATACTGCAAAGACATTAGGAGTCGCAGTTATTCAAAAATTAAAATTAACATCTTAAAAACAAACAGACCCATTTAGCTACATAAGTTACCTGATGAATGTGTTGCAAAACAACTAATCAACATCATTTTATATTATCAGGAAATATATGTCCTATTATATGTAGTCTTTTTGTTGTTCACGCTGAATAATTGCATTTGTATCAAAATGGCAGACAAGGCTAATGTTATCTCAGTAAGTAAAAGTTAAATTCTTCTTCCTATGAACTTAACATCATGGCTTGGGTGATAATTACAGCACCAAAGTAGCTAATTTTATTAGTACCAGGACTTTTTACCTTCCCAGAAAATCGCATGTTTTTGCATTTGCCCCGTTGTTGATTAAGAACTCTGCCATCTTCTCTTTATTTTGTTTCAGAGCAAGCAAAAGTGGTGTGATCTTGTTCTGTCAAAACAAAGTCAGTGATGGATTGAAAATTAATAGATTCCTTGAGCACATAAGCATACACGCTGATAATAAATGATTGCCATTTCCTCTTTAACCCACTGACTTCCATGTGTGTTCCTCCTTTTCAAAATCCACACAAAGATTTCCTATGACAATGTATCATGGTATTTGGGGATCAAATGATTGCTCCCATCTAAGCAAAAGTTTCTTGATTCTGTACCTTTATTTCAGCAACCCACAACAAGAAACACACTAGCAAAAACGTTCTGTATTGTTGTTGGCAAACAAGTTAAATTCCCCCAGCTACATTCTATTCCTACCTATATTACAAAGAACAATCTCTTTTCCAGGCATTCCATGCCCCAACAAAAAGATTGCATAACCACCTGTCTGGGAATGTGACCAAAAAAAGAAGCATGGGTCCTCCAACAGAGAAATATCTTTCATTTTTCATAATTTCTACTTTCTTAAACTGCCTTTTATGGTAGACAATTAGCATTTAAGAATGTAGAGTTCAAGGAACATAGTGTTGAGAATTTCGGTGCAGCAGGGATTTCATGAAACTACAGATAAACTTGTTAATTCCCTTTTACGTGTGGTGCCAGAGCCTGAGACACCAGCATCCTTATCAGTCACTGTAGATGGAGTTTTCCTGGCCACAGCCACTTCCCAAATAACTACTCAGAGGCTTAATATAAATTATAAATGCTCTGCTGATAGCTCAGATTTCTTACATTACACTTAAATTAACCCATATTCTTATCTATGCTTTCCCACATGGCTCACGTCTTGTTACCTCATTTTCTACATGTCCTGCTTCCTCAGGTGGCTGACCGGCATCACCTGACTCTGACTTCCTTTTTTCCACCATTTTCAGTTTGGCTGTACTACCTAAGTTCCTACCTGGCTACCTGCCTGTCAGCTTTTGTTTTGTTTTTAGAGACGGGTTTCTCTGTATAACATCTCTGGTTGTCCTGGAACTCACTCTGTAGACCAGGCTGGCCTCAAACTCACAGAGATTCACCTGCCTCATGTGCCACCCCGCCCTACTTGCCTGTCAGCTTTTTATTAACCAATAAGAGTAATACATATTCAACTGTGTACAGAAGGATGATTCCACAGCAAGTCACTTAGGAAATGGGCTCTCACTTAAATGAACAGGCTTCAAGAGAACTTTGGTTGCACTTATTATAAAATAATAATAGCCTTATTTAACTGTAGAGAGCTCAATAAGAAGTTTCATTATCAGCTATGGTAATAATCTCAGGCCTGGTGTGGTGTTGCACACCTTTGCTCCCAGCACTTGGGAGGCAGATGCAGGTGGATTTCCATGTGTTCAAGGCCAGTGTGGTCTGGACAGTGAGTTCCAAAATGATGATGGTGATGATGATGATGACGATGATGATCTCATGACTGAAGCACTGCTACTTTTGGGTTTTACGGGGGTTCGTTGCAGTGACCTCTGCTTTTTGAGACAGAATTTCACTATGTATCCCAGGCTAGCTTCCTGCATTCATGGCTCTCCTCTGTCAGTCTCCTAAGGGTTATGATGCTAGATCTGTGACACCACGCCTTGTTCATATGCTATTTTTAATCTATTTTTATTCTGGTCTCAGTTTAATTACTATTTCAAGCTGTTTTTGAGTAAAACACAAGCCAGAAGTAAAAAGACAATGGTTTCATCAATAATAATTCTAACACTGACCTATTCATTTTTCTGTTTTTAATTAATTTATTTATTATGTATACAGTATTCTGTCTACATGTATGCCTTCATGTCAGAAGAGGGTACCAAATCTCATTGCAAGATGGTTGTGAGCAGTCATGTGGTTGCTGGGAATTGAACTCAGGACTCAGGAAGAGCAGCCAGTGCTCTTAACCGCTGGGCCATCTCTCCAGTCCACATATTTCTTTTATGATGTAGAAAGCCACTAGGTCACCTTCATTGGTACAAAAAGGTAAAATTGTGTTTGGAATTGCCACAAAACTTTTGGAGTTAACGACATATAGGCATTTCAATGTGAGTGTGCTTTAGAAAGATAAAGAAAAAGTTTTAAAATAGCAACTTCTAACTTGTAAAATTCAGTCCCATATCCTTACAAACTGTTTTGAAACCTTAAAATCTCTATCACAAAGCACCACAAAGCAACTACTCATGCAAACACATAGTCAGACTAAGTGGATGACATCCGGATAGTTTGGAGGGGCCCCTAGCAAACTGGAGCACTTGTGGGCCTCAGACAATAGGGACACCTTCGTTACAGGTCGCAGAAAGTAAAATGAGCTCTAGGCAGTCTGGACTTGGTTACTTGACAGCAACTTAAAATGCACAGTTCTTTAAGAATTTCCTTGGGCTGAAGAGATGCTCAGTGGTTAAGAGCTCCACCTGCTCTTCCGGAGGACACATGTCCCAGTCCCAGCACCCACAAAGTGGCTCACAGCATCCATAATTCATTTCAGGTAATCTGATACCCTCTTGTGACCATTGTGGATACCGCATGCATGTTGTACATTTACATACACGCATGTTTTTGTTTTGTTTTGTTTTTTTCGAGACAGGGTTTCTCTATATTGTTTTGGAGGCTGTCCTGGAACTTGCTCTGTAGACTAGGCTGGCCTCGAACTCACGGAGATCTGCCTGCCTCTGCTTCCCGAGTGCTGGGATTAAAGGCAAGCGCCACCAATGCCCAGCAACAACTATTTTTTAATTAAAATAAAATTTAATAAAAAGGATCTCCTGGGGTTTAACTGTGGATTCAGCTCCTAGAGGACACTCTTTATATTGGACTCCATTGGGTTCTTGGCCCTTTGGGAAGAAATCTTTATTGTGAGTGTGGCTCACATTTTGCATACAGAAATGCAAAATTCTCTTCTAGGAACTAAGGAGCTGAAGGAAACATTTTAAACTTCTTTTTATTTATTCTTCATGTCTTTCACATCATGCATCTTGATCCCATTCATTTCCCTTCCTATCTGCCCTCTGCCCTTGTAACCTCCCCACCCCCCCACACACACAATAAAATTTAAGAGGAAAAAAGAAAGAAAAAAAAGGGGAAAAAATCTCATCGTGGAAGCTGTAGTATGACACAGTGAGTCATGCAGTAAATGTTTTTATCCATCTATCTTTACATGCATGTGCTCATTTCAAAGAGTCGTTGGTCTGGTTCAAGACCTCTAATTTCTGCGACACTATGGATATTGGGCCTTCTCTGGGACTCCTCTTGGATATCCTGTTATTGCCCTGTGTCATGGAGATCCTGTGGCTTTTGGTCTGCCCCTTCATGTTCTCCACAAATGGTAGACGCATAGATGGGATGGATGTTGGGGTGGACCATCTCATAACCCTGGTTTTGGGCCTGGGTAGATGCAGGGTTGGTCAGCTGACCAGCTCCCCTTCCCCTTGTCTTCACCTACAGGGTGACCTCTCCAACATTACTTCAGCTAAGGATGAGCAAGGGGCTGGTCAGTTCTCCTGCTTTCATGCCACGAGGGTTGGCTCTCCCACACCTACACCCTCAGGGCCAGCTCTACTGTTCTCCAGGCAAGGGGCAGGGGCCACTCTCCTGAGTGCTGCAGCTGGTGAGGAGCAGGGACAGCGCCCCACTCTTACGACCTCAGAGCAGCTCTGTCACCTGCCACAGGCAGAAAGGGGTGTCAGTGCGGCACCTCTCACCTGCCTACACCACCATATGGCAGGTGAGGAGCTGAGCCAGCTCTCCCATGCTCAAGTTCTCAGGGCCCTTTCATCAGACCCTACACTCCTCCTCTCCCCATCCCTATCAACAGAGTCAGTTCTATTGTGCTGCCCAGGTGAGGTGCAGAGTCTACTTCCAAATGCTATAGCTGGTAAGGGGGAAGGAGGGTCAGCTCTTTCACCCACCACAGGTGACAGGGACAAGGGGGGGGAGGGCATATTTCCTCATCCTCACCACGACATGAAGGAAACAGTTTTAAATACTTATGTCTGGGTCTTATTAGATATGCTGATTTAGATATTAGAGGTAAAGTCCAGACACTTGTGTATTTTCAAAACTCTCCCAGATGATTGCACCTCTGGAGAAGCAGAAGAGCACCATCTCTACTTTGTCTCTCACAGGTAGACCAGTTCTCTTTATGATTTCAGGATCTGGCCAAAAGAGAGACACAGACAAACACCACCTTTGCTGAAAATACCATTTCATTTGCAAGGTAGGGGCAGAAGCAGCAATAGAAATTTCAAAATATAACTGGATTATACACAGCATAAAAATCTCCCAAGTCCCAGTAAAGCATTGTAGATTTGAAAGCAAACTTTAGGCTCTTATCTAAGTGTCAATTTTTATCAGATAAGGGTCATTTAATGGTAAATCACTTATTTTTCCCTTTTTTTGGTTTCTGTGTAATTGCTGCATATGCATTGGCAGTCTGATTTCTTCAGAGCCCTACTAAAATCTATCTCTGGGCATGCTTGTTAACTAGTAATGTTCTCTAATTAGGAATTATTATCACCAAGCTAAAGAACATAGAATAAATATAAAGTGAATCATTTTTCAAGAGAATCAATATTTCTTGATATTTCCCCTCAATTATCATATTCCCAAATTTGTATGAAAATTTCTCATCCACTTCCCTTTCAATTTTTGTTTCTCTGGCTTTACCACTCGTGACTTGATCACATGATATAACTTGTCCACAGCATCCAGATGTCAGTTTATCATAAAACATTTCTTTCTTGTTTAAGAGAAAGTTAATATCAAAGGCAAATGTTCACATTGGGTGTCACATTTAACTAGTCAAGGAAAAGTTTTTGCTAGACTCAAAAACAGACGAATTAATTGCTTTGACAAACATTTGTCAGAAATGCACTCAAGAAAGCTGCACTGTGCCATGCCTCTTTAAAAGTACTAATATTCAAAGTGGCATCTTCAATAGTTGAGTTATTTCAAAACATTTCCACTAGAGGACTAGAGCTTTGAAAAGACAGAAAATTGATTCTGCATACACACTGCTAAAAATCTGTGCATTTTAAATGTGTGAGAATTATAGGTGGGTGGTGTATACCTCGTTTATTGCTTCCATGTTTGCCTTGTATTCAAGCAGCTTAGCAGCTGTTTCAATATCCCCATTGTAGACGGCATAGTGCAGAGCAGTATTGTCATGACAGTCCGTAATATTTGGGTCAGCACCATGCTTCAGGAGAATACCAAGGCATTCTGTTTGTCTACATTGGGCAGCCTGTAGAAGTGGTACCAACACACAGATTGTTAAAGAACAAGACATCAGCATTTCACAAGCTTCAGTATTTAGTTACATTTAAATGATGTAGCTTCATTTTTTAATGTAAAAATGTATTTCAAATTCTTATCATCTGAAACTTGTGACTTTAATATACCTTAATTAGAGGTGTGGCATTTTTAATATCCTTTGGACTAATCTCGCAACTGCTCTCCACCAGGAATGTCACCACCTCTGGATGGCCATAGACACAGGCAAAATGCAGGGCAGTCCTGTGGGTACGGAAGGGACTATTATGAACTTACATAACATTTTCTCAAACTTACACATGCAGTTATAATCCTCAGATAGCATTTAAGGACTCTGCATTTTAAAAGTTGATTTTCTTCTAAAGAAAAGTCATTATATTGCCTCTTATTGCAAGGAGCAGACAATTTCACTGGAGTCAACACTCCCCAAATGTTTGTGTTTTAGGATATAGATTCTCTCGGTTGACAACCTGGAGCCAGGGTCAAGGCACCGGGCTGGGACCCTTCTGAGCAAAGTACTGAATGTGTCAAGGAGCACCCAGCTTTAGGTGCCACAGTCTTGATGACTGAGAATGAGTGTGACCTTGGCAGTGTTCACGGGACCTGCTCCTCTTAGGGCACCAATGCAGAGAAACCTGAAGAGAGAACAGACATGAAGAGTGGGAATCTATGCATTGGCACAGGAAGGACTGGTAAACTCAAAACTGAAAAGTCAAGATGAGTTTTGTAATTTGAAAACTGTCGAAGGTGACAGTGAGCCATGTGGTGTGACAGGAATCGCTGGAGTTGACTCTTGTAGGAAAAACCAGGACTCTTCGTCAAATCTTACCATCAACACACTTGGCTTATCAAGAAGACACTGAATAGCCCTTCAGGTGTGTGTAGACTAGTGAGAGAGGAGGCTCCAAGTTCAGAAAATTATGAAGTGAACATGGCACCCATAAAACTAAAGTGGGTAAATATGAGGACGCAAACCATCTTCTCTTGTAAGTCCTCTCAGTGACTAATGGACATCCCTACACACATATGGAAACACGGGAATGCACTGACATAGTGAGTATCAACTGTTATTTAAAAAAAGAAAACCTGTTAGGTGGGGAGTTGAGACACACTAGGAACTTCTCATCTGCACTTTTCCACAATGCATATGACATTATGTTTTCTTCCCAGTGGACAGGCTAAAGCTGCGTTATGCAATTGTGTTGAAACCCTTGGAAAGGCCAGTCAGAGCTCTGGAAGGAGAGTTTTCAAGGACATGAAGCCCAAATCTTGATTTGTTTCACTGTTAATGAGGACCAATTGGGTGTTGCACCCTTCCCAGATGTACATCCTGAAGTTAACGACAGATGCTTCTCTTTTCTCGCCTCACACGGGAAACTGGCCTCCTCCTGAGTTACCACGCCTTCCTCCAAGGTCCCTGTCCCCTCTCCCACAGCTCCAGCCCCACTGTTACCTGTACTTCCAGTCTATTTGTTCCATGGAAAAAACTCCCCGCTCGACAAAGTTCTTCACTGTGTCTATGTCTCCCACGCTTGCGGCCTTGTGGATAGGATAGTAAGGAGCATAGCTGGCGTGGTATTTGGGCGGCTGACAGCCTCTCTCATCCTTGCTCCCAAAGCCCACGAAGATCTTATCCAGGCCATCACAGAATCCCAGGGGCGTCCTTTCCTTTTTGGGGAAAAGTATCTCCATGGTAAATGTTGTCTGCTTCACAGGCCTTTTCCTTCCCGCTAAGCTTTTTCCGCATCCCCAGCCCAAAATGAGAGACTATGCCAAGATGGCCTCTCCCAAACCCAGAACCAAAATTTAGAGTGAGCCAGATCCTAAAGATTAGAATATTGAAGGAAACTTGGAGCCAAGTCTTGTCACAACGTCCCAGTAGGGAAGCTCCAGGCTGGTTTAGTAGTTGTCAACCGCAGACGAGGATGCAGTTGGAAACGTTTGTCGCCAAGCAACGCTGGTAAACACAAGGCTCGTGCTTGCTCGGTATGAGCGCACATTGGAGAGCTGTCCAGTGTGTTAGCAAGGAAGGTGCTCAATGCGCATGTGCATAGTCTGATACTCAAAAGCCCGTCAGAAAGCCCACTTAAAGTTCCCTCAAATGAGGCTCTGCCCACCCACCCCCTCCATGTAGATCTAGGAGCAGTTAAAGAAGTTTCTTTGTATTGTGTTTTCATTTCCATTTAGTTCCAGGGAATATTTTATTTCTTTCATGGTTTCTTCCGTGACCCATTTCTCATTCAGTAATGAGTTGTTTAATCTCTGTGAGTCTGTATACAATGCTAGAGATCTGTTTGCTGTCACATTTACGTCTTATTGAAGAGCTACAAGCAATTAACCACTGAGAAGAGAATTGGTTTTCCCAGGGATGAGCCTTTTGATTGGTTATTGTGCTGGCTAGGCTATGCCAACTTGACATAGCTGGAGTTATCTGAAAACCCGAGAACCTCAATTGAGAAAATGCCTCTATAAGATTCAACTGTAAGGGTTTGTTGTTGTTGTTAGTGATTTTGTGGGTGGGGCCATCTCTGGGCTGGTGGTCCTGGGTTCTATAAGAAAGCAGGCTGGGGAAGCCATGGGAAGCAAGCCAGGAAGCAGCAACCCTCCCCGTCCCGCCCCCCCCCGCCCCCCCCCATGGCCTCTGCGTCAGCTCCTGTCTCCGGGTGTTTGCCCTGCTTGAGTTCCTGTCCTGACTTCCTTAGATGATGAACAGTGATGTGGAAGAGTAAGCCGAATAAACCGCCACCCCCCAATTTGCTTTTTGGTCATGGTGTTTAGAAACCCTTAAACAGCTATTCAATTCCCAGTGGTTAGCGCTGGAAACATACACATGCAGGCAATGCCGAGTGAAATCAGCAGGTCATAGTTATATAACTTTCCATTTGTATGTTTTTGTAGCAACAACAATTAAAGAAGAGTAGGGCTTGAGCTTTGGAGGGGACAGAAGGGAAGGAAGAGAGGGAGAAATAATGTAATTGCATTTTCATTACATAAAAAGGAAAAATATATTGGTACAAACACGAGTATTGTTAAGTTTCAAACCAGGCTAAATGGCTGAGGTGCCTATTTAACACATCAAAGGGGTTCTCCATCAGTCCCTACCTGTTACCACTTTGGCTGGCATGTCCTGACAGCCCAGGAGTTGGGCTGCCCTTTCCCCAGAGGCTCTTCCCCATGTCTTCAAGACATTTTGGTTACTTCTTTTGGATCTTTGGTCTCCTAGCTGTGTACTTGGTCCACCTCCTATCCCCTTATCTCCCCACCTCCGCCCCCAACATGGCCCAGCTCAGTCTGATAATTGTCCACTCTGAACTCTCCCAGATGTCCCTGCCTCTGACCATTCTCTCCCACTTATATAAAATAAACTTTCTCCTCCACCATACTTAGGGGCAGTCATGTCCTTCCCTTTCCTTTTTAAAAATTTTTTGTTTCTTTTTTCATTCAACTATGACATGCACATGTAGACATCTCCCTAAAAGTGGAATTTTCTGAGGTTCTCTGTGTTATTAGTATTATTCAAACATGCCAATATACTCATATGTGTGTTTTAACTTTTAAGTGTTTAAATAATTAAATTTTTAAACGCCTCATTTAAATTAAAGAGAAATCAAATGTGCGCATTTAATTAACAAATGCTTTCTCCTGACAAGAGGAAATGTGTGTGCAAGAGAAACTCCTCAAACTGAAGGATTATTGTGAGCATCGTGGCCAGAATGTGCAGGGGCAGCCTGTGGCTCTCTTCTGACTCGTGCATTCTGTGGGCTCCAGCAACTCTGCCTGGTTCTTGTCCCCCATGATAATGCATCTGAGGGAATCATGGGGGATTGCTGATCAGCCTGAGTCCTCTTTACAGGAACCAGGTAACTCCTCCTTGAGTGGGGAAACATTTTGGAATCATGCCCTGCTGAGCACTGTTTCCCCATGGCCTCCCTATGCAGGCCTAAGTAGACATGTTGTGATGCAAGTACCATGTTCCTTTGAATTCTGTCTGCCTTAGAATTCCTGAATGAGAATCTTGTGGATGGCATCACAGTGTCACCCTGCATCCTCCCTGCTCTTCCCCATTTTACCTCTCCGTGGGACAAGAGCCTCCGCCTTCCTTTAATGCAGAACTTCACCCTGCTGCTCCGAATCTTCCAAGCTCCTTCTAAATGCAGTCATAACCTTTAAAATATTTATCACTTAACTTTTCAGACTAACATTTGCTTCCAGAAATATAAGTCACCTAGGCAGCCCCCAAACTTATCATTTCCAGTGGTAAGTAAAATAGATGTCCTTTATGGTAGAGGTAGATGCTGGAAGAAAAATAAAATCAGGAAATCCCCTGGGGCCAAAAAATAGGGTAGCCGCTGGGCAGTGGTGGCGCCCGCCTTTAATCCCAGCACTCAGGAGGCAGAGGCAGGTGGATCTCAGTGAGTTTGAGGCCAGCCTGGTCTACAGAGTGAGTTCCAGGACAGCCAGGACTACACAGAGAAACTCCTGTCTCAAAAAAGCACAGCATCAATGCATGTGCGGATGCTGCAGTCACCCAGGGTGGGGGGTTTCCAGGGTTAGAAACACCAGGCTTGAGGTAATATGCTCAGGGCAAGGCAGAATGAAGCTTAGGCCTTCAGGATGCTGAGCGTCACAGCTGCTCACTCCTGTAGGAAGCCTGGTTCCTACAAGGAAGCATTCTTCTCAGAAGAAACTGCGCCCTTGGCTCAGGAAGACATGAGACTTTCCTGCCCTCTTCTGGGCTCTGGAGGGTTAGATCCCTTGAGAATCTGTGACAGTAGTTTCCAAGAAACCCCAGGCTGAGAAAGAGACATAAACTGAGGGGAAGGCAGCAACTCACCTTGGCAGCTTGCAAAGCAAAGCCCGATTCCCCTGTACGATTAGGCTCTTGTCTAGCTGTAAAATAAACGATAACTATGCTGCAATCCCCAGACCCAGAGAGACTAGGTAACAGGAGGGATGATGCGGGGATGCCCTCCCTGGGAAGGGGAAATAGACGAGATTTCATGAGTAGACTGAAGGCGGGAGGCATGGGAACACGAGTGATCAAGTGGGGCGGGGGGCAGAGGCGGAAGAGTACTAGTAGATACTACTGGAAAAGGGCGGGGGCATTTCCGCATTCAGGTAAAAAACTGGCGCTAGGGAGTCTCCCAGGAAACTACAAGGATGACCCCAGCTAAGACTCCTAGCAATAGCGGATATGTAGACTGAACTGGTCATCTCCTGTACTAGGCTGGTTCGTAGCTCAATGGTCATTCAGGAGGCTTCATCTGCTTTTATCTCTTGGCAACAGCACCGATTTGGATTTCTGAAAGCCAGTGGCTTCTATGCACCACCCGCTCTTCCACTTGGTCCACCTCAGCAGAGAACATTTACGTTTGAGAGGCCTGCCCTCTGCTGGATTCTTGAAATATTACATTCCAGACTTCAGAGTGCCAAATTAGGTCGCATATGTGAAAGTACCAGTAGTTAAGCGTTTTGAACAACATACATAAATAAAAATTATTTGATATATTTCCCTGAAAATTCTTCAAAAAATTTTCCATGGATATTCATATGTATTTTACATATTTTCTGATTATACCAGATCAAAAATCCTCAAACAAACAAAAAAACCAGTATTGACCTGAGTTAATAATAATGGTAAATATTTTATTCATTCCAGGTCTCCGCATTGTGACAAGTAGAAGAAAATCTGTACAACATTGCCTCTGCTCCTCAGAAAGGCTCAAAGAGAGTTTCCTCAATGTCACCTCACCCAGCCACCCTACAAATTCTTCCTGCTTTCCCTGAACCACAGCTCCCACAAACTAACCACAGCGAGTTGGACCAGAATAGTCATCCTAGCCAGGTCAGCTAAATTCTTTTGAGATGAAATTTGGAATGGGGCCACATAAAGTCCGAATCCTACCATTGAAGAGCAACTCTGCATAGAGAGGCAAAAAAAGAAAAAAAGATCAGAAAGATATTTTTTAAAAAAACAATCAAATGGTTTACATGGACAAATGAAAGTCAATGTCCTGTCTATAGTCCCTCCTAGGGCCCTCTACTTTGATTTAGCCCTGAAAATGGCTTTTCTCCATTAAAATTTTATATAACTGATCCACACAAATGAAACATTGCAATGGTGAATGAATAAAATCAAGTTAAAATGAAATAAAATCCTAGTTAATATGGCACATTGCTTGATGTGAGTAATTTGTATTGTATTTCAGAGCAATTAGAACCAAATAAGGAGCAGTGAATGGAAATGATTGTGATTATCATGGCAATAAAACCAAGCAACTCCAGGGTCAGCTGTAGGGAGAACACGGTACAGCTGGCTGAGTTATGGTGGAGTTTCTCTCCAGGAACCCGGATTTAAAGGCCAGGAATCGAGTGCTCTCCACTTCTCCAGCACCAAGGCGGCTCCTCCATAGTCCCAAGCCCAGCTCCTCCATTTCCAAAGAGGAGGAATGCAGGCTGATGGTGGTGGGAACTCTTCCTTCGCTTACATTTGGGAAAATACAGAACACAGAATATCTGAAGCTGGTCTGGGAAGAAGCTTCCAGAACATTCTTCATGTGGCCCAAGTGTCTCACCTTCCTGTACCTGTATGGGAGGTTAGGTATGAGACAGGTGCTTATAGAAACATGAGGTTGCCTGACTTCACTCTCTGTAAAGATTCCTATCCTAGCTAGGCAGCTAGAGTAGGCAGTGCCCACGTGGATTTCAGTTGCAGAGACTGTTGGGTTTTAGCATCAACACAATGCTTTTTACATTGAGGAAAGACTAACAAGGAACACTTGGAATGATTACTAAATGCTAGAGTCCTGAGGCTAGTATGACAACTTAGCCAGTACTTAGAGTAAGAAAAGTTTGACTTGATGTACTTGAGTTAAGTATATACACAAAGTACTCCTCCTTCTACACATGATTAAACTAATATTTTCTGTGCTTAAAAATATATATGCA